TTTTACAAAACAGATGGTATAAGATTAATTTTAAAAATTGATACACACATGGAAGATTACTACAGAAGCAAGAGCCATTTTCCACTAAAGAAGTCAGGAGAAAATCAAAACTCAGGAATAAGAAATTTTAAAAAGCAAGAGTGATCTGTGAGGCTATTATCAATGCATAGTAAATAAAAGGATTATCTACAGAACTTCTAGGCCACTCCCTTCAACCCCTCAAAATATATAAAGATGCTGGCAGGAATGATTTCTGCTCCAATAATAACCCCCAAATTACCAGAGTTTCTAGCATCCACATTAGAGCTGGAGAGAGAAGTAAAAAAGAACATGAAGTAATTCCAGGCTTCCACAACAGTGGAAGTAAATAAAAAAGAAAAGAAATTCCACCTAGGAATGAAATAAGGTCTTCATAATTCAAAATAAACACTTCCTAATGTTTTCTAACCATCGAAGTCCTAACCCAGCTAACAGCTGTCTATTCTCCTTAAGGGACAAACTAGCCCAGAANATCGAAGTCCTAACCCAGCTAACAGCTGTCTATTCTCCTTAAGGGACAAACTAGCCCAGAAGTTACAATCAACAATCCCATGGAGGAGAGAGATCTGTGGGAGAAACGGATCTACTTAATTCCAGAGGATCTACTTAATTCTCCTTACCAGCCATCTATGCCAATATCTATCAATTATTAATTAAGCATTTACTAACAAATATTAACAGCAATCCAGGGACCATCAGACATTTATGGAAAGCTAACACTTAAAATAAAAAGAACAAAATGAAGAAAGAAAGAACAGACCCTAGGAGAAACAGAGATAGTGCACAGAATAGAACTTTCCAAGTATTCTAATTAGTATCCTCTAAAAGATGAGAGGATATTAACTCCAAAAATACCCATTAAAACAAGAGAGACTGCTATGAAAAGAAATGGCCAATTAAAGAACCGATGTCGCAAATAAGTTCTTTTCAAGGTGATAGCGTGAAGAATAAAGATTCGATTAGTAATATGGACAGATGGGAGGGGAGGTTAGGCAGACGGGAAGAGAACAAGGAGAGAGGGAATGAGGATGCCTGGGACAGTAGAACAAAAGGAGCAGAAAATGGAAAATGAGAGAAATGTGAAGAAATCTGGAGGACAGATCTAGGAGGGCCAACATCCACTAAAAATGAGGAACAAATGGGGAGCACAGA